GAATCGAGGAAGCCTCAGCCCCCACGGGACTTTGCAAAGGGGTCTGGAAGACAAGCTGGAAGTTTGGAGCCAAGCGGGATGCTGCAGAGCTGACGGCCCCATCTCCTCCATCCCTGCTGCCCTAGATAACACGGGGTGATGTGCAACTGTGACTCGGTGGCCGGTGCCCTTCGGTGGGACACCCGTGGCCACGACACCTCGGGACGTGCATCCCCCCCAGCACGGCCCCGCTGGCAGAGCATCACTTGCAGAGCGAGGCTGACAAGGCAGAGCAAAGCACAGAGACACGACCGTGGTGGGCTTTGAATCAGGCAACACGAACCGCGCTCCCGAACCCTAAAGCTCCAAATCCCCTTTGCGAGAGCTGGGGAAAGAAAGAGATTTTTTCCATGCTGTCACATCGCTGCTGTTAAAATTCAGGGTGAGAGCATCAGATGCTGCTGACAAGCCCGGGGATTTTCTCCAGAGGCAATTACAGCTCTCCTGCACAAGCACTTTAATTTCTAATCTGAAGTTATTTCAGCAAGGACAAAAAAAAAAAAAAAAAAAATCCTGATTGCAGGATTACAGAGCGCCGTCTCATTTCCTCGCTGGGATACAATGCCACTTTCCCATCCGGTTGGCGGGGAGCGGGGGATTACATTCAGCCCGCAGATCGGATTGCCCTGAATGAGGTCAGCTTTAGCCAGCGAGCGATGTCTCCTTGCATCTCGCCGACACCTTGAATGCTTTGTGCCTCCACCTTCCAGCGCTCTCGCAGATGGGTTTTGTTCTTGCTTCTCAGGAGCACGCCAGGCAGGGAACAAAAGGAGAGGCAAGGTTTTGTTCCCCATCGACCCAGGTGGAAAAGCAGTTGTGAAGAGCCGCTCTTGGCTTGCAGGGGCAGGCACTGCGGAGGAGCGGTGGTTGCCGGACCTCTGCCAGACGGCACATCTGGCAGCCCATGGGTGCCGACACGTCCGGGACATGCAGCCAGTGGGTTTGGACCTGCCCGCGAGATGGAAAACAGCGCCCAGGCCAGGTTGCATCCACCCAGGGTGCAATTTCCAACTACGGCTAAAATTCGTGTGATGATGACTTTGAGCCGGGGAAGAAGTTTCCGTGCTCCAGGAAGGGACCGTGTGGCATCTCCCCAGCCTGCCTTACTTTGTCTCTACTTGGGGTCAAAAAAGGTCTGTTAAAGGGAAAGTTCAGCCCTTAGCTATGTGCCTGCGTGGCCGGGGACAACCAATGCTGCCGGGCACCATTGAGTCTGCAAGGATGCGGTATCTGCTGCCGGGAAGCCCTGGGACGGTCTCCATACAAGACCTCCAGCTCAACAAGAGGCACTTATCCATCCTCATCTCCGAGGAAGCTCTCCAGGAGCTCAGCACCGACATTTCCACCCACGTACCCTTGCTGACTCGTGCCTTCTGCTACAAAGGACCGGGGGGGGGGTCTCCTCCCCCAGGCACACCTCACCTCCATCACTGCCTTTTGCCCCTCTGTGCCTCTGCTGCTGTTTCACCCCCTCCTTCCTCTCCCGTGCACGCAGACGTGTGCCCCCATGGTTGCCTCCCTCCCTGCTTTCTGTGATCACTGGAGGCACCTCGCTGCTCTCCTTTTTGTTGCTCTTGGCAGGTATTTTGGTTGCATGGTCTTCAGAGCTCACAAAGGAAAGCAGGACTGATCAGAAGCAGCTCTGTGCCTGATCAGGTGGGATGAAATGGGCCAGAAATGACAGCTCTTGGCCCCCCTGCAAGCCTTGGCACTCAGGTAGGCATCTGAAACAACAAAACGGGGGATCACCAGAGCATCTGAGAACCAGCAAACTCCCCACATGCAGTCAGCAAGTTCCCACAGCCAAAGCGCTGCCAGTGCATCCCCACCATGACCTTCAGGCCTCTTTGCTTTTTCCAGCTGCGGTTTGCTCCAGATCTGGGCGTGAGTGGAAGCTCCCAAAATACCTGCTAAGCCCTCCGGACCTGGTGCTGCTGGTGATGCTCTGACCCACCTCACCAGCACCCTGGCCACACTTGAATTGCAGCCCCAAGAGGACGAGGCCAGACTGACTTCCAGCGTCAAGAACCGTGCTCCTGCTGGTCCTCGCTCCCTGCAAAGCTCTTCTGGACAAGATGGGTGGGATGAGAAACCAAAGCCCGGTGCCTGCAGGACGTGACCACAATGAGCTAACCCCGGAGCAGCTGGTTTGAGGGGAGCTGGCAAGGAGGTTGGAGGGGCTGCAGGAGATGGTCTTTGCAGAAGGCTCTGAGAAGTCGCTGCACATGAGCGTGGCTGAAATGCCACTGGAGGAGAAGGTGGTCGGTGTTATGCACTGAAATAGGTGACTTCCCGTCTGGTTCCCTGACCCCTTGTGCTCCTGGGGGTTTCCACCCAGTGAGCGGCACAAGGACGGCCATGCCGAATCCCATCATGGCATCAAAGCACCAGCTCCAAGCGCGTGCTGGGAG